CTTCAAAAATTAAAATCCTTCGAGATGTAGTTATGTTAATTAATACATCTACTAGTTAGGAAAATAAAAAAACTTAAATTTGGACATGTTTTACAAAAAAAGTGTTATGAAAAAGTAAAACGACTATATCTTTTGCATACGATGTCGAAAAAAACGTATAATATATCAAAATGTTCAGCACGAAAATCCGCATCCGATTTTGACTGCCGTAAGCCGTTTTTTCAATTTTTAGAATCCTCAAATTCTAAAATAAAAAAAGTTATGCTTAAATTTCAGTTTTTTTGAATTTTGGTTAAATCTGGTCAAACTACTTATTCAACAAATATTAATGTTACTAAATAATTATTCAAATATTAGTGTTACTAAATAATTATTTTAGTTTTTTGAATTTTGGTCAAATCTGGTCAAATTGTGGTCAAAGTACTTATTCAAGAATATTTTAGTGTTACTAAATAATTATTGTTTTTTAGAATAATAGTTTCAAACTCAAACAGTGAAACGTGTGACTTCATGCTCAAGCTAAACTCCTGAGGGTTAATAGGATTGACAGCTTATTATTGTCAGGAAAACAACAAGTGTAGACTTGGGAACAAGGGGGAATAGAACTTGGAAGTTAAGCGTGCTCAAGCTGGAGTAGTGAGAGGATGGGTGACCGGTCGGGAAGTTAGACAATTTGGAATGATGAGGGGTGATTAGAGATTAGAGATTAAAATGAGCAGTGATTAAATATTAAATTGTCAAATAATTCAGAAATTTGAAAATCAGGAAAAAAATTAAAAAAAATCAAAAAAATCCTTTAGTCCCGTTTGGTGTTACCAACCGGGACTAAAGGTGGAGCTCCAGACAGCGGCCACGTGGAGCCCCTTTAGTCTCGGTTCGTAAGCGAACCGGGACTAAAGGTTCGGGGCTTTAGTCCCGACCCTTTAGTCCCGGTTCCAGAACCGGGACTAAAGGCCCGTTTTCTACTAGTGAAAGGACATGCGGTGCCCCCATGTGTGATTTTGGTAATTGATGACATTTTCTATGGATTAATGGTTGCATTGAGTTATATTTGAAGGATTTGTCCATAGGAATTTCTTGAAGTCCATGTGTTGGTTTCAAGGAGTTTATGTGTTGAGCAAGGTGCTATTAAGGAATTATTCAAAGATTGGTCATGTGAGAGTTGAGCTTATTGCAAGCATGTCTTGAAGAAGAAGATTGTGTGATCATTCATGCTTACCTTCAAGGCATCATCCAAATGAAGAGAGTTGGAAAGGTTCAAGGTTGATCAAGACCAAGTCAAGAGTGAATCAAGTTGATCAACTCACAAAGCGTAGAAGATGTACCGAGAGGGATCAAGTGATCCCATGATATGGTAAGCATTGTCAATTACGCTATGTGTACTAACCCATGGTCTTCGTGAGAGTTCTTTGTGGGGTTAGGTTGCGGTGTGCACGTTCAAGTGATGCATCACGAAGAGATCAAGTGCTTGAAGATTGTCGTCCATTGTGGTAACAATGGACTTGTGAAGATGTGACGAAGAGTGGCTCACCCATAGTGGAGTATGGGGGAGCAATCTACTAGCCTTCACCGAGCCAACGCAATCAAGAAAGGTGGTCCTACTTGAGAAAGTCAAGATCGTCTACATCTAGCTCAAGTGGACTTTGTGCAAGGCAAAGGTTTGGCCTTGCTAGGTTCTCTATTTTACTGGTCTCATGGTGGTAGTTTGGAGACCGGGTTATAGGATCGATTGTCGTACTATCAAGGGGGCTCTCTAGTGAGTAGCTTGATCGTATCGTTTGTAGAGAGCTCAAACCATTGCATGCTTGCATCACCTTTCTAGGTTCTTGTTTGGTTTTCTCCTTGTGAGATTTGGAGCTTATGATCATCTTCTTGACAAGCTCGAGTTCATCGAAAACAGAGTTTACATGCTTCTTCTATTGTGTTTTCGGTGTTGGAGGTTTTTCCAGTCTTATTCGAGGAAGGGTTCTCACCATTTTCTTATGGGCCCTTTATAATTTCCTTCTTATTTTTATTTCTATCAAGATTGTGTTAGTCCTTGTCGCTAGCTTTCCAACAAACTTGGTTTCGTTGAATTCGGAGTCCGTTTGCAGAAGTTGTGTCAGTTTTGGTGTCCTTAAAAAGGCTGCAGCGGTACTATCGCTCATGGGAGCGGTACTACCGCTTGTAGGGGATGTAATTTTTTACTACCGCTCTTGGGAGCGGTACTACCGCTTGGAGCGGCACTACCGCGGCTACTTCCGCTCCGGACCAAAAACTCGTCATAGGTCCAGACGTGGTAGGCACAGATGTATTTTTTTAGTACCGCTCGCAAGCAGTAGTACCGCTACCCTTTGAGGTAGTACCGCTACCCCTAGCGGTAGTACCGTGAGGTCGAGCGGTAGTACCGCTCTCTGCAGGATGTGAGCATAACGGTTGGATTTTTTCCCACCTATAAAAGGGGTCTTCTTCCCCAATGAACCTTATCCTTTGAGCTCGTGTTCTTCCCCCATTGTTGACCTTCTTCGAGCTTCCTATCTCTCAATCCCTCCATGGATTCTTGCTAGTTTTGGGGGGAAAGAGAGAAGAGATCTAGATCCACATTTCCACCAATCACTTTCTCCTCTATGTGAGGGGAACCCCTTAGATCTAGATCTTGAAGTTTTTGGTGTTCTCCTTTTTGTTCTTCCTTCCATTTTACTCCCTAGCATTAGTTGCTTTGGTGGGATTTGAGAGAGAAAGACTTGGGCACTCCGTGTGCCCTTGCCATGCATTTGGTGCATCGATGACATACTATCTTATCTGCAATGTTGCCTACTAGTACTACGTACTGCTTGGGAAGACGGCCAAAATAAGAATACTACTCCCTCTGTTTCATAATGTAAGACGTTTTTTACACTGGTGCAATAAAGAAGATAGTAAGATCAAATTGAATACCGCGGTG